GGAAAAGCCATGGTTGACTGATAAATTTCATCTGGACAGGGAGTTCTGTGGAAGAACCATAAATACCAGGAAGGAAGACATAACTTTGAACTTCCTTCATACGATGACTGTTATAAGTAGCGCAGGAACCCCTAACCTCATGGGCTGCTACAGGAGAGGTTCCCCTATGGAGCGAGGGCTGCTAAACCAAGCTGCAACTTGTTGGGGGGCAAAGAGAGTGTTTGTTGTGTTCTGCAATGTGTCGGGCACTGTGCCAGGAAATGGGCATAGAAAAGGGAGCAAGACCAACAAGAGCCCAGCCTTTCTTCACAGACAAACACCAACATCCAGGGGGCTAAAAGTCTGGAGTGGTCTATATTATGTCTGAAAATTTATCTAAAAGAAGAATTCTTCATCCTGCACTTTTGATAAGTCCTCTCCCTGTAAGCTAAAGAAGAGCACACCTGCCCTAGGATTCTGTTAATAAAATGCCAGGAGATCAAGCCATCCTTGCCTACTGGCTGGAACTGGCTTTAATTCACTCATGCTCTTTCTCTGTGTTGTTGATGTTTGTTCGTTTTATTTTATCCTTACAACTACCTTTAATCTAGACGTCTTTTGTGGGTGGGGGGGATGTATTTCCAGGACAAGTAAAAAGAAAATATTGAAACTAGAACATTCAGCTTCATATGAAAAAGGCATTACCCATGGAGCTCGTTGGCAGCATGAAGAATGAAGCTGAGAACAAGGGAACTCATTACACGTATCATCCTTAGAGAGGAAATATTTAAGCATTACGTCCTGAAGCGTTTGTTCTTCATAGCAGGTTCTCAATAAATGTGTGTTGAATCAGATTTCTCTTCGCTATAATGTGTTCAGCCAGTGCTCATCCCTGAATACCCAAATCATGGTCATTGCAAATACTTCCTTGACTTCTTGTAAATGAGGAGGCCCCTTTCCTCAAGTTCTTAGTCTCATTTGTCCAAAACTTACTCTTTAAACTCATTTAGTCTTTCAAATCATTGGCTTCCTGCTGGCTTTACCCCCTTGCTTATGCAGGCTGAGTCTCACGACCAACCATGTGAAATGATTCTGTCTTATACTTTAAACACTTTTGTAGCTGGGTGCAGTGGCTCACGCCTGTAATCCCAGCACTTTGGGAGGCTGAGGTGGGAGGATGGCTTGAGGCCAAGAGTTTGAGACCAGCCTGAGCAACACAGAGAGTCCCCATCGCTACAAAAAAAAAAAATCTTTGCATCATTATTCTGATTCCACTCAGGGAAAATCTCAACCCAGAACCAATGCAATGCAACCACGCTTTCCTTATTAATGGAACATTGAAGGCACAGTGACTGACACCTGTAATCCTAGCACTCTGGGAGGCAGAGGAGGGAGGATGGCTTGAGCTCAGGAGTTTGAGGACCAGCCTGAGCAAGAGCAAGACCCTGTCTCTACCAAAGATCGAAAAAATTAGCCAGGCATGGTGGTGTGCACCTATAGTCCCAGCTACTTAGGAGGCTGAGGCCAGAGGATCGCTTAAGCCCAGGAGTTGGAGGCTGCAGTGAGCTATGATGATGCCGCTGCACTCCAGCCTGGGCAACAGAGCAAGACCCCATCCCTAAAAATAAAAAAAAGATTGTGTGTGTGTGTGTGTGTGTGTGTGTGTGTGTGTGTGTCTGGAGAGAGAGAGAGAAAGAAATACTTAATCCCAACAGGAACCCCCATGTAGAACATGCATCTCAGAGTCCTCTCTCCTGAGGGGTGAGACAGCTGGAGTACACATACACCAAGTCCAG